TCTCTGAGGGAGGGTTGGGTACCTGCCCCTTTAAAGGAGGCGGTAGTCTGACTGGTCCTGAAGAAAGCGTCACTGGATCCAGAGATGGCCACTAATTATAGACCAGTGGCCAACATCCCATTTCTGGGCAAGGTGTTAGAGCGGGTGGTGGCGGGACAACTCCAAGCACTCTTGGATGAAACTGATTATCTGGACCCATTTCAGTCCGGCTTCAGACCCGGGTGCGGTACTGAATCTGCCTTGGTCGCCCTGTACGATGACATGTGCAGGGAGAAGGATGGGGGAGTGCATCCTTGTTGGTTCTCCTGGACCTCTCAGTGGCTTTTGATTCCATCGACCATGGTATCCTTCTGGATAGGCTAGCGGGATTGGGGGTCGGAGGCACTGCTTTGCAGTGGTTCTGCTCCTATCTCAATGACCGATTCCAGAAGGTGGTGCTGGGGGACTATGGCTCTGCACAATGGCAGCTATGCCATGGAGTTCCGCAGGGGTCCATTTTGTTCCCTTTGCTGTTTAATGTCTACATGAAACCGCTGGGAGAGGTCATCAGGAGGTGTGGGCTGTGGAATCATCAGTACGCTAATGATACCTAGCTCTACCTCTTGTTCTCCACCAATCCAGGTGAGGCAGTGGCGGTGCTGAACCGGTGCCTGGCCGAGGTAATGGGCTGGATGAGGGCCAATAAACTGAAGCTCAGTCCGGACAAGATGGAGGTCCTGTTGGTTGGCAGATCGGGCTTCGGGGAGGGTGAATTGAACCTAGTCCTGAATGGGGTTGCACTCCCTCTTAGGGACAAGGTCTGCAGCTTGGGAGTGCTCCTCGACCCAGAGCTTTCACTGGAAGCTCAGGTGACAGCAATGGCAAGGAGCGCTTTCTTTCAGCTTCGGCTGGTCCATCAGCTGCATCCCTACCTGGAGAACGACTGCCTGGTGGCAGTGACACACGCGTTGGTGACTTCCCAACTTGACTTCTGTAACGCGCTCTACGTGGGGCTGCCCTTGAAGATGGTCTGGATACTTCAATTGGTTCAAAATAGAGCTGCCAGGCTGCTGACGGGGACTGGGCGTTATGTTCACATGACTCCAGTCCTCCGGCAGCTTCACTGGCTTCCCATTGAAGTCCAGGCCCAATTCAAGGTGTTGGTGATGACCTATAAAGCCCTAAACGGCTTGGGTCCTGGTTACCTGAAGGGGCGCTTACGTCCATATATGCCCGGCCACCCCCTGAGATCAGCGGGAGAGGCCCTTCCCCGGGAACCCTCCGTGAAGGAAATTAGGAGGGTGAGTACTTGGAGGAGGGCTTTTTCTGCGGTGGCATCCAATCTATGGAATGCACTCCTCAGAGAGGTCCGCCTGGCGCCATCGTTATTTGTTTTTCGGCGCCAGGCGAAGACCTTTTTATTCAAATGTTATTTTAATTGTTAATATTATTTATTCATTTTATTCTTTGGCCAGGGCGACTTAATTTATATTGTTAATTTATATTGTTTTATTGAATTTTATTTATTTATGGTTTGTGAGCTGCCCCGAGGCTTCGGCGAATGGGGCGGCATAGAAGTCTCCTAAATAAATAAATAAATAAATACATAAATACATAAATAAAATAGAATCTGGCGCTGGCAGGTGATCCTCACTGTGGCTCCCTTCCCCCTCCATCACCTCCCATGATGCTGCTCCTCCCGTCTGAAGCACAAGTCAAAGGAGAACTCACAAAGATTTCCCCCTCCCCTTCCACCAGCACAAGCAGAACTCAGCTTAAGTGCTGATCTTGCTACGATCTGCCTTCAGTAACAGTATAATAAGAACATTCCTAGTTAGGAACAGATGGTGCCAGACCTGCTTGATACTGGTTTCCTGCCCCGGCCGCTTCATAAGCTGTCTCGCTTTCATACTGCGGTTCCCGCTGACTGATTGCTTCTTGATAATCAGACTCTTCAGCTTTGCTGTTGGTTTCTGGCTCATGCACAGCTGAATAATTCATATCTGAAGTCTTGTAGCCAGACTCAACGGAAACAGCATCCTAAGGGACCACAAGGCAGCAATTACACGAGCACAGAAAGCCCTTCATATTTCATGTCACTGCCGAAGTGGGCAGAACAGAGTTCTCTGTGGAAAGGATGCAACTAACACCAAGACGGTGACAAAATCGAAATCAGCTCATTGAACTGTCCAGACTCTGGCATTTTGCACGTGGCTTCCCCCAAAGTTATAACAATGAGTACCTCAGGCAGCTGTTTTGGTGTCCAGAGATATAAGCCGGGGGTGTGGGGCAGTGGACCCATCACAGCCACCTGTGGGAGTGCCACGCACAGCATGTGAAGTACTAGAGCGGTGGACACTGGCTCGTCACATACGGGGTGGCCATTCGCGCAAGCGTTTTGTCAATCCCTTCCCTCTCCCCTGCTTTGATATATCCCCTGTGAAATGTGCCAGTTTTAATCTGTTCAGTTTCACTACAAGGCCATCCTCATGACCTGTTAGGCAAACTGAGGACATGCGAGAGGGAGCTGCCTTAGGACAGGACCCCGATGTCTCCATCTGCTCCAGTGGTGCTTGCTCAGATTGGCAGCACTTCACAGGATCTCTGGTGAAGGCCCTTCACCCAATCCTTCCTTTTCAACTGGAGATGCAGGGGACTAAGCACGGGGACCTTAGCATGAGAGTGCGCCTGCATGCAAGCCATGTGCTCTCCCGGTGAGCTATGGTATGCGATGCTATCTTGCTCAGAGAAGTGTTCAAATCCTTTACCCCAAGTCTCGAGCCAAGTCTCATGTCTTTCCCTTCAAGTCCAAGTCAAGTCTCAAGTCAGTGCCAGAAATTTTCTAGTCAGGTCTTGAGTCTTTTCTCAAGCCTCAAGAGCCAACTTAAACAGAAAAAAGGGAGGTGGCAGTAGGGTGGGTGTGGAAGGGTGGGAGAATTGTAAACCCCCCATGGATCTTCCATTCCCTGCTTCTCTCAGTGATGCACCGATGTTCTTTGCTTCAACCACAATTTATTGTAAAAATTCTGTGCTGTTGTTTCACATTTGATCACTGTGTCCTGGAGCCTGCCCTGAACAATGCCTGATAAATAACCGCAACATACAAGTTTTCAGCCCCCCCCAAAACAGCCTTTTTTTTCCTCTGGCCAACTTTCACTTGATAATATTGATCCCAGTGTTCTGGAGTCTGCCCTGAACAAGGCCTGATAGTAACCCCAAAAGGCAGGCTGTTGCACTTCCTGCCAAAGTGTGCCAAAAGAAGAGCTGCAGTCTTGCCTTCCCCCCATCTCAACCCCCACCCCCTTGAAACTCCCTCCCTCCCACTGCCTCTACTGTGTTGTGTCTGCCCTCTAGGATCTCCAGCCACATGGTAAGCCCAGGAGCAACCTGATCATAAACAAGGTAGAAACCTCGAGTCAACTCGAGTCACTCATTCACTGCTGCTCACTGATGCGACTTGAGTCGGACTTGGGAGTGAGTCACTTGACTTGAGCCCCAGCACTGATTTAGTTACTTATTACTTGTTTGGCTACACAACCTGTCTATGATATTCTGAAGGTTCCAGAAGAGTTCTTGTGGCATTTATTCAAGAGCTATCAACAAAAACACCATTGCTAGTTCCACCAATTATTTTTTTACATTAACCCAGTCTGTTTGCTGTATCAAAAGCACTGGAGAAAGACTTCTTTTATTTCAGCACTTCAGAGCCTCTTTCGGTCAAAGGGTCCAATTCCATCCTGGAGAAACATGGGGGGCTGCATTCAAATGGTGGGTAGGGCTGAAGGCCAAGAGGGGAGGGTGGGAGGACCAACGAACTTGACCTTAAAGCTCTTACTGCCAAGCGGCCAAGCCTTGGAAGAGGCATTTCAACCTTCTTTGAAGGAAGATGCAAAGAAACTAGAAAATCACAGAATGACTGGTGCTGGGGAAAGGGAAGAGGGTGCGGCAATCCTGGGGTCCCTGCAGTGCCAGATGGGGGCCCACGAGTGCCACTTCCGGTCCCTGAGTCTGAGGGGCTGCGCCCCTCTTCTGTTTTAAATGCCGAACTAACCTCATAGACGGGACTGGAAGGCACCTTTTCTTCCACCTTCTGTGGGGTGGGAGACGGAGGAGGCGTTTCCTTCTTGGCTTTGGCTTTTTCCTTTAGCAAAAAGACAGAAAGAGCAAAGATGCATCACATCAACACTTGTAGCACGTACAACGAGAGGCAGCTTGTGACATGTGCCAATCTCCACACCCCCGAGAGTAATTTGTGTTATTTGTGGGGAAGAAAGCCATCTTTCTGTAGCTGAGTTATCCTGATCAAGGTTATGATAGAGTAGTTATGATTCCGTATTAGCACTGCAGTAGGCTAAAACCAAAGGCAGCCAAGAGAATACTAAAGTGGAGAAAATATGAAACAAAAGGAATAAACATAGAGAGCTCATCCACAAGTTTTTACACCGTCCAAGAGGAGTTACCCTGTGTCTATGGCCACATGCAGCAAGTAACATGTGAGCTGGTATTACTGTGCTGAGCGGGGCCACTTCCCAGAGACAAGCTGCACAACTGTGACAGCACAATTTTCAGCAGCGCTGCTCAGCGTTGGCTCTTCTCCCGCTCACAAAGCGCCCTGTCAGCGTGGTTGGTGCAGCATGCAGGTGACTTCCACAGGGGTTTCTTTGCAGGAAGAATCAGAGGACATAAAAACCAAGCCCTCCTATTTTACCTACTTGGCAACATTCTTCTGCTGTGTCCCTTTCTGGAGAAGCCAAGAATGGTGTGCTAGTCTTCCCCAGATTCAGTTTAATTCAGAAAGCAGGCTTCAAGATCTTATTTTAATACTTGCTCATGCAGTTTAATATGATACACATTCAAAGGCATCGAGCATGATCTTCTTCCAGTTCCTTCTATAGCACTGGGCTAGCAGTGACTTTTTACTACACTCAATTTACATAAACAGTCATTATCTTGATTGTGAATCACAATCTGCAAGAACGGTAACTATAAAAATGGCTTACCATAGATAAAAGATACCGAGAGTGATCGGTGGTGGGAATAGGTCTGTAAGTGTCTTCCCTTGTCCTGCTCCCCGGCTAACTAGGCAAGACATGGCTACGGAGCTGGGAGAGGAGCGGATTAGCCCCAAAGCTGTGGTCTGATACATGAAATTGCTCCCATGTGTGCTGGATGTGAGCATCACAGAACTGCTGCATTTTGTTTCACCGAGTCTGTACATTCTACAGCTGACAGGCAATTCCTTTTCGCATTAATGGCTCCGAGTCAAGAGTCAGAGTGGGTGGCACGAGGCAAACCCATGCTGGGAGGTGCTGCCTGTAATTTTCTCCAGATTAAACTGTAGGGCTCTTTTTCTGTCTAAAGGCATTCCAAAAGAGGTAGACGTCAAGAAGCAATAATCCAATATATCTGTGTTGGTTAGAAATAAGCACTAAACCACCACCTTGCTTTGCTTTGTCTTTCTTTTCTTAGTTTTAAATGAACTGCTTTTTTCAGGAATGCAGGAAAAAAACTTGGATAAAAATGGTATCAGTTTAGAACAAGGATACAGCCAAATTATTTTCATTAGTGGAATGCACTAAAAAGAAGCTGACGCTTTCCACTCCTCACAAAAAGATCCAGTATATCCGTTCCAGCTGGCTCTGCATATTTTACAAAGGACCCGTCTCTGCATTTTGCCAGCAATTTAGCTCAAACCTTGCAGCCTCCCCTCCCTTCTATAGTCTTGACTATGCAGCACAGTCCTGTGATCTGTTGTTCTGGACAATGATTCACAGATCCAAGCTCTGGGGTTGCAGAGCCGTTACGGCTGCTGCCTTCCCGTTATGACCCAGCTGAAGCACATGGATTGTGCACACAGCACCCACGCCGTGCAAACGTTCATTTACACACAACCAGAGTCCAAAAGGAAGGGAGCTGACTCTCTGCTACAAGCCCTCACCTGGTTCATCCAAAGGAAATTAAAGCACAGCTTTGAGGCCCAGAACGCACATTACTTTCTTCCTCTACAGAAAGCACAGCGGTTACGTGTGGGACTGGGACCTTAGCAACTGGGATAAAGAGGATATTTATACCTCCCCCTGGTGCTCTCCCGACACTGTGGGCCCAATATGGATCAGTAGGGTGCCAACAGTTTCTATTACCAGGGATCTATTAAAGCAAATGGTTTGTGCTGCTATTGTAAGTCTCTTTAACAGAGATGGGGGGCCGGGATTCCAATGTAAATAAGAGATGGTCAAACAAGGAGATATCCAGAAGAAGATAAGCCAGACAAAGGGGAATTTACACTATAAAAATAAATAAATAAATACTGACTGAATTTTGTTTGAATGTCACGCTGAGATGCTAATGATTCAGTATCATGGTGGTGTGTGTGTGCGCGTGTGTGTGCATGCACGTGTGTTTTTAAAGGCCCCTAAAATCACCAAATTCATACACATGTAAGAATACAACCCTGACTCTATGTCCAGTTCTGTTAAGTACTCCCTGGGCTGGTTAAGATGCAACACCTAAACCATGGATGGTGTAACGTGATGTCCTGCAACAGCAGGGGGTTGGACTGGATGGCCTTCATGGCCCCTTCCATCCCTACTATTCCATGATTCTATGATTCACCACTTGGCCACAAGGTCTGAGCCTTGAGTTCTCAAACTCCTTCCTCCCCCACTTCCAGGTACTGGTAACTGGCAGTTTGCAATGATATCTGAGTTGGAAAACTACTGTTTGCTGTCACTCCCCAAATTCAGAGATTTTCAGTTCTGGTTTAGAAAGAGCAAACTGTATTTTACCCGTTAAGGGGAAACCAGGAAATTGGAGAGGGAGTTAGAATGACCTGGACAATGAGGGAATCCATGAGTCTGAGGCACACACTTGATGGACAAACTGATTTAGTTGTCACATCTAAACCAGCTCAAGGTGATACTTAACAGAATTTGAGACATTTGATTTTAGGGACTGGATGAATTAAGCCATTTTAGAGACTTTTTAGAATACCATGACATTGATTGATTAGTACTTGGTGTGAGGCTTTCAAGGAACATTTGAGAAGTATGTAGCATAAAATTACCCTTGTTACTGATTTTTCTTTTTCTGGCTCTCTGCTTATTTGACCTTTTATTTTACATCTGAATCATTTAGTTGCTATGAACTTCTGTAAGATTTTTCTCACCCTGGAACCTCCTTATTCAGTTTTGTTTTAAAGAAAAGGATATAGGAAGGAGTATTCATAAATTTGGCTTTCTTGTTGAAGCAGCACGACACTGATGCTTAAGACAAACTTCAGATCTCCTCTATTATAACATTTTTAGTTTCTCAGCACAGAATCACTTTGGAGTTTATTGGCCACAAATGTGCACACCATTCACACCACACCCTGTGGATTCCCAGCAAAGACAAAGCTTTTTTGTGCAACATCAAAAATCACTTGGAAAAAAAATCCATTTTTAATCACAGCCAGCTGCTTGGTCTGTGTGCATGGCCTGATTAGGAAGCAATTATGAGATCAACTCACCAAACAATAGGAAATGGCCAGCTCAGCCCTTCGAGCAATGCACTAATGTAGCTTTCCCCAGCCTGGTGCAGTCCAGATAGACTGGACTACACGGCCATCATTTGCAGCAATATGGCAAATGGCTGGGCGTTATGGGTGCCAGGCAGTGCAACACGTCTGCACAGCACCACGTTGGGGGAGGCTGTCGTGGTGCAAGGTTGGCTGAGGCCCAGAAAGAGGGGATGCAGTGAATCGATTCAAGAGGCAAAAGGAATGCAGGATTAGCAGACCAGCAACTTCAAGCAAAGACAGGAATTCAGTGAACATGTCCGTCCATGAAAGCAGAGCTAGCACTGGGGGAAAGGTGAGACCCAAATGGCACTGTTTTCTTTTAAAATGACATCTGACACTCGATACCACAGGAATCAGAAGTTACGGGCAACGGCAGGTCAAGAGAAAAAGCTTGTTCTTTTGAGCCAGCTGGGATGCAAAATTAGGATATCAGTGGGACTTGAAAAGGAGGCCTAAACCAGATGTGACTTTAAATGTGTGTCTCCTCACAATGTCCTTTGCCCATTTTGCTCTAGAATAGGAAATAGGTGGGGGAACTGTCCTAGATTAAAAGCACAGCATGGAAGGTAGGGAGACTTTTGAGATTTGGACTGAGAGTTCTGCAACTACACTTGAGCGAAACTAAAATGAAGATATAGCTGCTATAGTACATTTAAAATCAAGTCAAGCAATTAAAAATTTCGTCCTCACTTGATCTCGTGTTGGGTGTCCAACTCTACTATCCTATGATCCTTTGACTTGTTGGTGCCGACTGTCACCACACTCATGGACCTCTCTCCCCTTGCCCATTTGGGTGGTTCAGATGATGTCTGACTAGACATGTATGAGTAGACAACCCACATCTATCTATCTATCTATCTCACATGGTATTGAGGTAATACTGGCTTTTTTATTTGTGTGCAAAACCTATTGGAGCTGAGAAATTGATTTCACAATTTGGGTTGGCGTGAACTGCCAATTTGGTTCTGAGATAGCCATATTGGCTCTGAAGCAGAATCCACAACGGCCACAAGAACTCAGCTTGTAGCTCACAAGCTCCTCAAAGCGTATCACACAGCCATGTCTGTCTACCATACAACAGGTTTATGTCATGTATTCGAGGTTTCTGTCCAGGCACAGCAAAACCAGACCTAGAAACATTCAGAAACTGCTTGGCTCCCTGAGGAATTCAGATAAGCCCAAACTCTGATTCATCAAGAATGCAATAAATCAGAATTCAATGAATCCATCACTGAAATCTGAATTTCAGGAACATCCCTAATAATGACATGTATTTTATGTTGATGTGCTCCTAACAAGGGTGCTTTTTGAAGTTAATTTGTTACTAAACTTTATACATATAATGGCAAGCTGTGCTGCTTTAATTTCTCACCAACCAAGATACCACATATGGAAAAGGTGGTTCATTAAGTCAGCCCACCACCTCGTGTTTGAACTCTTCGGCGCAGATATTAGGTAGCCAAGAAACAAAGCTGAGCTCCCTCCACCTGGTGACCCTGCCTCAGATCAATCTTGTTAGCCAATGCCTTTTCGCGTTTGGGTACCACTCATGCCATCTGGTCCCTTTTGCTTCTGCTGAATGAAACAGCTTGACAACACCTCATCTTTTATATGCTTTGCATTGCTGTGACACCTAGGAGGCATGGATTCTGAGCATATGGCTAGCTTAAAAACAGACTCCCTTCTGCTCAATAATGTTCCGTCTTGGAGGAATAATTGCCTAAGTAGTACTGAATCTGGAATCAGGTAGAGTTCAAACAAGCTGACAAATCTCTTCCAGAGACAGCCCTCATTTTTCTCTCAAGCAGGCTCTACATCCTCTCAGCAAGCATCCTGTTCAACCGAAAGGCGCGTACAGTGGGGGTGAAGGGGGAGGAGTAATTTCACCTACTTCCAGCATCCGCCTAGCTTCCTCTTGTTCTTGCTTGTCCTTGGCCATTCTTTGAGCTCTTTCTATTTCTGCCTTCCTTCTGTCCTCCTGCTCTTTTTCCTTTGCTAGATTTTCAAAGTTAGCTCTGATGTTGCTTGTTTTAGTATTTGCTGCAATATTAGAAACACTACATGGTCATTGCACAGGTTATTGGCTTGAGCGGATCTGCACAAAATAGAATTCTCAAGTTAACTGACAATCAAAATGCACACTAAGCAAATTCTTTACATATTTAAATGATCAGAGCAATATATTTCACAGAGAAGCAGAACTCATTCAACTTCCTGCTAGGAGCAGACCCTATGAACATGAGCCATTCGAACCAAAAGTTCAACTTAAAGTTAAGAATTCAGGAGGAATTCCAGTAATATGATTAAGGATAATTTGATATGTTTCATTTGAATGATACTGTCTTCCATAGATATCACAGAGACAAAGCAATTAACAGTCTTTCAGATTTCGACTGCAATATTACAAGCATAAAAACCTTAAAGGCACCTAGAAGGTTTTGGTACTAACATAATGAGAGCCTGGTGATCTTTAAGAGACCAAGATAATCTAAACCATCCAACAAGGACACACACACACACAAACACACTTTAAAATACTCTCTTACCAGCTTCCACTGGCTTTGTCTTCTGATATGTTGAAGATAGTTTCTCAATATCCTCAAAAGTGGATGCATTCTTTCGGTAAGACAGATTGAGTCAGGTTCACGTAAGAAACAAAAATATATTACAAGATTAGACAATGTGCATAACTGCATGTATTTTGCATGGAACCATCAGAAACGTATGCACATATTTTATTCAATTTTATTCAAACAAGTCACCGTTATATACTTGGGTGACAGATCAAAAGGATCAGTCACCAAGTTATGATCCTTCCAAAATGCCAAAGGAATGCACTCAAAAGTGAGATTCACACTCAGCAGAAACTCTGTATAGAGTCTCTCATGACAGACATCCAAAAACCCCATAATGTCAGTTGATATTCTGCAAATTAATAACAGCTGTCAGTTTGGGTACTGGAACGTTTTAAACTTATAATAATTTTAATGGAAGCTCAAAGGTAAATTTCCACAAAGCAGAGAATTCAAGTTGTTGTGCTTTCAGATGCCAAAAACAAATTAACAGAAAAGCCAGCAACTGGCTGTCAAAGCCACAACTCCACACCATGAAATGAAGTAGCAAAGGAAATAGGTGCCTTCACCAAACACATTACTGACCAGCACTCCAGTTTGGAGCAGAGGTCCCCAAACCTTTTGGGGCAGTGGATCTATAAGGAATTTGTTGTTAGATATGTCCCAAAAATGACTAGACAAAAATGACAAACAGAGCAAGTCAGAAGGGGCCCCCTAGGCCCCGGCTCCAGACGGCTCTGCTCATGACATGCCTACCATGTATTCCTGCTCTCACCACCCATGCATAGCAAGTGGTTGCAGCTGCACACCTTTTCTTCCAGGAGTTTTTAGTAAATGGGCAGGCACATTGCAAAACAAAGTACCAGCCTCCTGTCAGCTGCATTCCAGAAACTGCCTCTGAGCCCATGCCTGGCAATCTTCAGTTTTTAAAGTGAATGACAGTGATCACGATATATTCAAAAAGAGGCAGTAGTAGTAGGGGCAGAGAACCACATAGGCACCAGGGGAGGTGAGTGTGGATGCTGTGCTGAGGTAGCCACAATCAGAATATTTGCCATGTCCCCATATTGACCAGTACAGTCACAGAGCAACTTTAATTCCCAAGGATGGCTGCATGTGGGATGGCCAGATGGGCTCGAGTCTCGTTCCATTGGCAGAGAGAAGCATCTGTGGCTGTGCTGAAGTGGGCCCAGGGGTATGGCAGAACATGCTTTGGATCCACGAGAAACGCTCTAAAGGTAGAGCATCTTTAACTCGTGGACAAAATTTTAGACTTATGAGCTAGGCAAAAATACTGTCATACCTTATCCATCCGATCTTTCTGCACACCATATTTTCCACCAAATCCTTTAGAATAGTCTAGAAAGAGGAAAAGAAGTTTATTTTACATTGTCTGCTGGACTCCCCCTTTTAGGTTTTATCAAATATGGAGAAGTACTATAAGAAGCTGCATGCACAGAGTTCCCCATGACTGCAGCCAAGCAAAGTAAGTAGATGCAGAGAGAAGGATGTATATTTTCAGACTTCGGTAGAAGCATCAGCAGGTGTGCATGACAGAGCGGGCCGGGTTCATGCTTCCACATTCACTGGCTGAAATGAAACTGCATGATGGCTGGCAGGAACTAAGCAAAGGAAAAGACGCTGTCCCTCAGACCACAACATCCCAGCATCCCTACCTCACACCACTTCTATAGCACAGCCTTGGATTACTCTACCATGTGGGTATGCAAGCTTTGTAAATTAGGATGTTCTGTAATTTCGGTAATGCCAACATTTTAGAGTGCCACACACCACATCGTTTCAAAGGAACAAGTATTTAAGTGCCTTAAAGACACAGAAATAGTGGCCACATGACCTTGGTTAAAATTGCCAATAGTACAATTAAATGCAGGACACACATGTTTCTACAAGACAAACACACTGCAGAAAAACAAAAGGGGTAAAACAAGCTTTTGAAAAATCACTTCTGACTTTTTGATTGGCCTCATAGTTACCTTGCCTGATTTCAATGTTTTGTATAAAGACAGCTCTGTGTGTGCATGTGTGTGTGCACACGTACCAAAAACTGGAACAAAATCGCATGGGCCTATAATTTAAATTAAGCTATAAATCCACATATTATTGTATCAACGGATACATTGTGAAACAATATTGAAAAAGTGAAGTTTCAAACCAGCATATTTTCTATGAGAATGAGTATGCCTTTAGTATCATTACCAAAACCTGGGATGACTACTAATCCTAGGAAAAACAGATATATAGATCTTTCTTTCAAAATGGGTTAAGCTAGAGAAAAGTGGCAAGGAGCAGAGCATTTCACATCCTACTCCTAATGCTAATTCTAGAAAGCATTTAAAGAAAGGACACGTGCTTTGCTTTGGTGTTTTTTTTAAGCAGTAAAATCACCTTCAGCTTAAACGAACACCTAAAATGTTGCCTTCCTGTGACAACTGGAAAAACCTGAATCCAGCTGCTCACACCTTAGGTGCCAGACTTGCCATCCCTGGATAGCAGCAGAATGGCCCAGGGGCCAGACCACAGCAAACCGTCAGGTTCTATCTGCTAGCAGCAAACCACACAGGGGACACCAGAACTCCTGTGCGGTGCACACTCCAACTCGCCAAATGCAAGCTGATGCCCACTTGCCAAAAAGCTCGCTGGCTTAAATAACTGGCGTTCAGATAAGGGCTGGACTGATGTGTTTGCACAGAGTAACTCAATGAGGTATTTTGGGCGATCGGTTCCCTGCAGCCCATGCCGGCCATTCAAAGTGAGCATCTTAAGTCTGCGTTAGAAGTGGCTGTGCCAGGTAAAGAGTGACGACGAGAGACTATGCCTTGCTGCGACTCATGCTTCGCTAGTTTCTCCTTGTAGTCAAACCCCACAGCTGATGGGTCCTGTCTCTCAGTTTGAACACCGAATTTCCCTCCGAAACCACTCTTATAGTCTGAGAAATCCAGGGTACGTGATAAGGAAAGAGAACCAAGGGTAGAGAAGGAAAGGGGCAGGGGAGAAAAGAGGAACATATTTAGATACAACATACGTAATCCTGAACATGAATTCTTTAACACCAGCTCTAAAGAGTACTAGGAAGGGAGGAAAGAATTCACAAGCAGTTCGTCCAACAAGAGGTCACTTTGATGAAGAACCGAACTACTTTTTGAGGAATATCATACAGTGCAGCCCTTTCTAGACTGCATCATGTCATGATGGAGCTGAAGTTTGAATGTTTTCTCCTCACCAAAAGATTCCCTGCATATATACATTCAAAACATCTGGGAGGAGACTGTTCTGGAACCTTCTCCAATATACCCCAGGCAGAGAAAGCTTCTGACATGGGAAAGCATTCTGACATTCAATTTCTCCCCATCCATTCTACAGCAATCTGAAGTGCCCCAGTTCCATGTGCATGTGGACTGGGCCAAACATGGGAAAAATGTTTTCAACAGGGTCCTACATAACATGCGAAGAGTTGAAGCATGCCTATCAAACAGGATATATGTACTCACATTTAGTCAGTCAAGCATGGGTAGCAGACATCCCAAAACATCTTAAGTTTGAACCTTCCTTCGAACAATGACCTAGTTTGGATAACATGGCAACCCAACCCTGGAAGGTTCTGTAAGCCAATCAGGCATCCCTGCCTCCACCTGTCCTGGAATGGACCCCTAGAGCAAGAGGCAGGAGCAGGGGATTGGGGTGCTTGATCTCCTGGGATTCATTGCTGGAGGATGGGGCCACCCCACCCAGTGTGTTGGGCAGGCCTGTGTCCTACCCAAGCAGTGGGGGAACTGGATCCACTTGGTAGTGCTGCCCCATCTGCGAGTGGCACTGCCAAGCGGATTGGGCATCCCTACCTCTTCACGTATCAAGCCTGACAGTAAAGCTCTTGGTCAGGAGGCAGGAGCCACGATCCGTTTGGTAGCGCAGCACCACCCCTGAGTGGTGCTGCTGAGTAAATTTCACAGCCACGCCTCTGTGCCAAAGGGGGCTGGAGGAGGGGGCTGTCTGGTCAGCTCCCCTGTTCTCCTATTGGAACAATGTGCATGCTAAAGAGTTTGAAAAATTATTGTATGGAATTAGGAGATCTTGGTTTTAATCCACAGTTTCCTATGCATGAGTAGAGCACATTTTGTTTTTTTCAGGGTGGATCCACCAATTTCCCCTACCCAGCTGCAGCTCCTGAAAAACCTCTGCCAAGTGCCTGGAGGGATCCCCAGAATACTGTCAAATGTAATAAAGCACCCCGAGCCTGGCAGAAAGGTGTTACCCAAAACCAGGAGGAACTTTGTGCCAAGAAATAGTCAGCAATATTAGTTTCGTTTATATTTTCGTTTATATTATATTTCGTTTCCTAACATTCATCCATCCATTCATAGTATTTACAAATTGTTTTCTGCAATAATAAAAAGTGACACAATAAAATTCAACACCAAATAGTCTTGTAAAAATGGCAGGATATGGCTAACATCCATGCAAGACCTGGTAAAAAGTGTAGTATTTACTACCTATCTATAACTTTTGTTGCATTCAGTAGCTCACGAGAAATTCTGGATGAAGCAAATCACATCATCCTCTATGTTCAGTTTTCCTTCCCTTGCTTTTTCAAGTAAGCACATATTATGATTTCGGATAACCCATGCAAAAGACAGACTGGAGATCATGTGATCTTCACCCACCTTAGAAACTTTGATGAAATCGGGTCAAGCTTTGCACACCGCGACAAGCTTTGTCGCTCTATAGGTACAGCCAGCAGTATTAGGTAGAGGCTAAACAAATTAATGTACCTTTTTGAGATTCATGTAGTTGCACTTTCTCCTGGTGATCCCAGCCAAGTGCACATTTGTCTTGTCTGTCCGTCTGTATCCCAAACTTTCCGCCAAAGCCTTTTGTATAGTCTGTGCACAGAAACATTCGCAAGGTGTTAGGGAGAGTCACTTCAGAGGTCTTAGAGTTAAGCAGATACTTCAAAATGAATTTGTTTACTAAATCTGTTTACTAAAAGAGAGCCAGTGGGGTGTAGATAGAATGTTGGACAGGGACTTGGCAGGTTTGTGTTTTCTGTCCCCACTTGGCCATGTAGCTGCCAGGACTACTTTGGGCCAGTCCCTAACTCTCAGTCTATCCTTCTTCACAAGGTTGTTGTGATGATAACAGTGGGGAGGAGGAACAGGCCAGCTCAGGCTCCTTACAAGAAGGAAAAGGGAAGAAGTAGTCCCATCATGGAAGTGACTGAGTTCACACAATGGTGATTCCATCCAAAAGCATTAAAACTCAGTAAAGCATGCTTAAGATTGTTCTTTATTTTGCAATCCTGGCCAGCCAAGATTTAAAAAGTAGCTTGCAAATATTTTAATAAACAAAAATCCTGCAGATTGCAATGCTATTTAATATGGTATGTAAGATTCAGTAGTTCAACTACTTAAGTGATCTGCTGCAGATTTTATCAGCCAGCCTGAATACTTCAATGGAAAAGTGAAAGGGAGATGTGAAGCCTGGTTTGGGGGGGTGGGGGGAAACTTCCCCCAACCTTTTTCCCAAAAGAACTCTAGGAAAAAAATGAGAAAAAGTAATTTTTTCCCTGCTCCTCTGTGTTTGTTTCTCTTTTCCTCAAAGCTTTCTCATATCTTGGTACAAGAAAAGCAAATCAATTAAAAATATTAGGGGGAAAGAGGAGGAGGAGGAGGAAAAAGAAAGATAAGGGGAGTTTTCAAAACTAGTTTGTACTTCTGAAAACTGAATGCGAGAGCTTATGCTGCAATATTTGATTATACTAATAGGTCAGATGCAAAGATCGCTCACACATAATTCCATGGAATAAAATTAAAATGAAGACCTTTCTGTGATTCATGCTTTTCAGTTTTGCCTTGATATTCAAAGCCAACAGCACTTTTGTCCACTTTCTCCTTGTCCACGCCATATTTACCACCAAAACCTTTAGAATAATCTGGAGATGAGAGAAAAAAAATTATTAGACATTATACAAAATAAGGGACTAGATGGCTTCTATGCATAGCTCTTGCACTGAGGGTCAGTTGGCACCATAGTGTCTCAAGTTCTACCCAAAATCTCAAGGGCTGTCTTGCAAGTATCAAAGAACCATCACAGGTCAACCTACCTCAGAACATCTTTGTCACCTGACAGCACATCAAATTGTGTTTTCCAACAGAGGCAGTTGCATATTGAGCTGTGAGTTTTCATGTGAAAAACCCTCTGAGTCACCATGAAGCAGCTGAAGCAGGGTGCAAGATCTCTCCGTTCATCCTCTCCCCCGGCTGGAGTGTAAATCCCCACCGTTGCCTTTAAACACAGCTCAGGGCCAAAGTACACATTACAACTAATCATGCAGTAGGGAGCCAAGCATTGTTTTACCCTTGTGTAACCACGGATTACATCCACTGGTTAAACCTCTTGCCCGCCCAGCCACCCATTATTTCCCTCTAAATTCCCTCTCTGAAGAGCTGAAATACATGGAAATGGCCTCCACTAACTCCACTGGGGACATTTTCCTGTTCTAACCTTCCTCCTCCTAGTGGTGGAAGTTCAGTAAAATGCTTGGGTGGGGGAGCTGCCTAACACCCCTCTCCTAGAGAACCAATTCAAATTCTTCCATGAGTGCAAGGTGCTAGACAAGCCTCTGCTATATGATTCATATAACTTGTAGTTTGGCTCGCAGTGCATTGTCTTGGCTGGCTCCAGGCTAGTGGCAGGTCCAGGTTAAGCAGAAACTTCAGCTAGCCTTAATTCTGGTGAACTCTGCTGCCAAAGAACTCTTAGCAGTGATTGAAGACAACCAGGAAAGGGTTTGGTTATCTGGGCTGAAATAGCCTGCTACCTAATGCTTAAACAAGGGGGAGAGGAAGAGAGGCTGGGTTCACATGTCACAACAAGCAATCCTGTTGTGCTTTCTGCAGTGCGTGGTTTCTTGCCTGGATGTGCCTCACAGACGATCAAGTGTTTTCTACACTAGCATGGTTTTCACTCTGCTTGCTTAGCCCTTCCACTGTTGCATGTGTCCCATCAGTCACCATGCTTGAAATTCAATCTCACGCTGGATGGCTGGTGCTGCTCCTTCAGCCTCTCTTTCCAGCAGTAACTGCATACCAGGACCAGAGAAACCATGGTGAAACAGGAAAACCATAGGGCAGACCATTGTTTCTTATCAGGCTTTCTAAAAACCAAACATGCCATGCTGAAACACCACAGCAGGGTTCGGATGGCACAATAGACCATTCTGCACAAGAAGCCACCATGGCTTGCTGTGTTTTGCAGACCCACGCAGCAATGTGCATACTGTCAACCCTTCCAAGGAGGAGAGCTGCTCTCCACTCCCAATAAACATTTGAGGGAAGCAGCAGTGGTGTGCTAACAGTGTGTGTGTGTGTGTGTGTGTGTGTGTGTGTGTGTGTGTGTGTGAGAGAGAGAGAGAGAGAGAGAGAGAGAGAGAGAGAGAGAGAGAGAGAGAGAGAGAGAGAGAGAGTTTTTTAAAAGCCTAACTTGCAGGAAGTTATCTTTCTTGCATATCTCTCATCTAGTTCATAGAACCAGGAAGAAAAGGTAGTTTCCGAAACTCAGGGCTTTTGGTGGGAGTAGAATTGTTCACCAGAGAGGTGAACCTCTCTGGTGAACCTGCAGGGAGAAGACAGAATTTACTGAGCTTTGTTATTCTGCTTTCAGACAAACATTTTCTTGTTTGTCCACCAGAATTCAGAGCCTACATCTATTCGGATTTTCTATAAATCTATTTGATAATCTTCTCACATCTTTAATGGCAGTTACATTTAGATTGAAGAAGCTAGCTGATACACAATAATTCATTTTCCTCAAAAATAAGTGGACAGAATAAAACAAAAGAGAATTGTGGCCCAATTTTGTGAAGAGAAGGAACATTTCCGTATTTGCTTAGCATATCGCAACTTACTAGAACAACAACAGTAACAACAGCAGCAGCAACAAAAGCACTGAAGACAATGCAGTGTAACGAACCTTTCTGTGATTCATGCTTCTCCGTTTTTCCTTGGTAATCAAATCCCACTGCACTCTTGTCTACCCTGTCAGCCTGTACGCCATATTTCCCCCCAAAGCCGCTGGAATAGTCTGCAAACAGAAAACCAAGCAAATGGAAATTGCTTAGAAATTGTGACTGTACCAGAAGAATTCTAAAGAAGACACACCTCTGTGGCACTCCATTCAGTATTGTGTACACCAGAGGAATGATCTCATGAGAGCACTGTATTTGGCTTCAATTCCTCATCACCATTCCCATGGTTTTCCAGAGTACAATCCCCATCTTTTGCTTTTATTTCAGCTATATTGATTGTAAGTATGAAAGAGAGGTTGAACTATGCTAAGTAAAATAAATAAATAAACAAATTGACGTTGAGCAATAGCCACAGCTGCAGGAGCATTCTGGAACTTAAATTTATGACACAGTGGCAGCCATATTGTGCCACAAACTAGTTTTGCGACAGGATACAGGGAAAGCTCACTCATAGCAAGATGGGATGAAGCAGTCCACATCATTCACTGACAAGTATACTGGGCAGACACGGCAGCTCTCTTCCATAAAACTTCATGTGAACAGAACAAAACAGAATCCTCCAGGTAAAGTTGAGCATTTGGAGAGCTGTATGCGAGAGGATTCTACACACATCTGTCAGAAAGCTTTACCTTTTTGAGAAGCATGTTTCTCTGTCTTTCCCTGGTATTCAAATCCCACAGCAGACTGTAGAAATTAAAAAATGGCTTGAATGAGCAGCACAAAATTACAAGAGTATTCTACATGAAGAGCAGCCCAACTGGTCTTGAAAATGAATGTTACAGTTGGTTATCTTAATACAGGTGCATCAACTTCTACATTAAAGGTATTAGATAAAGTCTCACTAATCCTGTTTAAATATAAAATACATTACAAATCTCACCTAATCACTTCCAATCCAAGTCCTTTCCAAGTTTCACAAAAGTTCGCATATCTAGTATCAACTTCTTGGCTTAGACTGCAGCCTGCCAGGACTATCCCAAATCAATCCTATGTATCAGGTTCTACATATTCTTCAGTCAAAGTACATAAACCAGGGGTAGGCAAAGCATATAAACCAAAGGGGCATTTAATGTTTTGAAAAAGCATCCTGGGCACCAACACAAGAGCATCTTGTTGGGATTCTGACTTTCCTTGTGATGTGCTCTACTCAGTACACCAGCACTAGGCAACCAGAAAGTTTGTGGTGCAGTCCAACTCCAACAAGCGATGGGAGCTCTGCCACTGATTTCAATGAAGTACATCATGCACCTCATGGGATGCACTCAGCTACATATTTTCAATCCCTTTGGAGCCCCAATACCATACAATCAAATTTTCTGCTCTTCCATAGCAAGATGCTGTTTACTGTTCTTTTTCCATCTCTATTCCATTTAACGCACTTCTACTTATTTCCCTGGGGCTTCTGTGTTGCTCTCCCAATCTGCTCCTCTCCTCTTTGATCCTTGCTGTTCATGCAGCAACAGTGAGAGAGCACAAGAGGATATTTATCAAGTCATTTGCTGTCGAAAAAGCTCAAGCCAGGGGCAAAACACACACTTTGCATGCAGAAGGCCCCAGCTTTTGTAGGTAGGGTTGCAAAAAAAAAACTCCTGCATGAAATCCCACAGAATCACTGCCAATCAGTGTTGAAAATACTGGGCTAGATGGACTCCGTACCAGGCAGCTTCCCATGCTTCTCAAACCATGTTCTTCTCCTCACCCCACTGGAATCTTGGTGTGGTAACAACACTGAAAACACAGCCCAAGTTTTAGCGAGTGCTTTGTTGCAAGGCTAGTCCACCTCACACTGTAACTGTATGCTACAGTCAGGTGAGGATCTCTCCTCACTCAGGTACAGCTGCAACTGGCTTTGTTACTACCCTGAGGCAGCCCACATCAGTGCTGTTGCTACAGGAACTGGCTGCCGCCACCACCTTTAGTTGCTTGTTGAAGAGGAGCTTGTTCCAGTTTTTAGCCTCCTTCCTCAGGTGAAACAGGGTAAGGGAGAAGACTGCCACCTCCTCCCAGTACAACTTTAAAGCTACCTCTTCACTATTCATTGCTGTCTGAAAGGCCTGGACTGCACACACATGTGTTCCAGCTTGAACTTCCTTCCTTGGATTCTCCAAAAGGTGCTTGGAGAAATTATGAAATAACACCTTTTTCAAACATTTCCCTGTGACAAGGAAAGATAGATCTGTTGCCCAAACACAGAAATTAAGGGACATGTTTCCCTTGACATAGATTTAGATGCAAGGTCTCATTCAAGGGAGGAAGCAGAAAGTCAGGAGAGTTTGTCGTGGAGGTAAAGACCAAAATGGGGGAGGGAAAGAAGAAATGTTGACCAAGGGCTAAGGCAGGGAAATGGGGAGTCAAAGGGGGTCTAAGTAGGCAATCTGGAATCTTGATGGGTGGGTTTTAAAAAACTTGTCTCTGAAATCAAGCATGCTCTCCCTTAGCTTTGTTTCATTTAAAATATATGGACCTGGAGCAGAATTAGAGCATTAGTTCAATATTTCTAAAACAGAACAACTGGGAAAGCTATTTCCATATTGGAGGGATTACACTAGAATAGCATTTGGAGGATCAGCTATTTCTCCATGGCATCTTCAAGAAGTGAGGCTATGGATGTGCCACTGGTGCCTGGCTGTGATAACAGACTGAATAACAAACTAGCACGCAGTCTAGAGGATTGAGATGCGGTTGGTTGGTGGTTCTTTTGACCAGAGGGATGGAGCCTGCGGGAACCATTCTAGATGGAATTGCAACCCCTTTGAAGTAGGTTCATAGTTTGGGAGTGCTCTTTGGTGTCTCTACCACTTGAGGTTCAAGTGGTCTCAGTGGCATGAAGTACCTTCTTGGAGGGTGGCCTAGCTATATTTCTATTTGGACAGAGAGATCATTTGCCTTCAATAATCTACACTATGGTAACCTAGTTTAGATTACTGCAGTACCTCCCGCATGGGGTTGCCCTTGAATACAGTTTAGAAGCTGCAGCTTATGCAAAATGTAGCAGCCTGACCAATAACTTGGATCAGACAGTCCAAAAATATAGCCTTCTTTCTGGTCTGCTTGCACTGGTGCCTATATGCTTTCAAGCCCATTTTCAAGGACTGCTTTTTAACCTGTGAGGTCCTGCATGGCTTGGGATCACAAAAACCAATGGGATGCCTCTTCCAAGTGGACACGACAGTCAACATCTGAGGTCTTTCTTGGAAATCGTTATGGAATGATTGCCCCACCAAGGGCCACCTGGCATCATCTTTAATAACTTCTCAGTGCCGGGTTAAGGCCACTCTCTTTGCTGAAACATTTACCAACTGTGCAAAGCACATGGGCGCGGCGGGGGGAATACTGCTAGCTGGTTTTTCAGTAGCCCTAGCAGTACGGAAAGGTTTAGCTCTTTAGCTGTAAAAATTTGGTTTTAAAATGGATAATGTAATTTTATAACATTGCATTGTTGTTTCATGCTATATTGTATTTTACTGGATTTATTGTATTTATTACTGTTTACTGCTTGGAGAGGTTCAGCTATTGCATAGCAAAGAAAATAAATAAATAAATAAATAAATAACCAACCAACCAACCAACCAACCACAGGCAAATGTAGGAGGCGGCCGGTACAGAAAATGCTAGAAATGCAAGAGATGGTTTACCTGGTCCACCCGATCCATTTGCACACCAAACTTCCCACCAAAACCTTTCACCGAGTCCACCTGGGAACAGTGCTGAGAAAGCTTAGACTGATATTCGTGGCCAACTGCTGACTGAAAGAAAAGAAGGACGCAGGGCATATTATGTTACACATATACAGGCTGGACTTGAATGTCTGAAGATGGGGTTTTGATTAAATCTGCACACAGCAACCCCCTTCCTCACTCCTCTTGTTGACTGGGCCCAACGGAAAACATGCAATGTGGACTGCAGTGAAAACACTACAGTGAAAACACATTTTTGGAATGTGAAAGTTAGTGAAAACACATTTTTGAAGCAAGGATTATGTTCAATACAATACCTTTAAAAAAAAAGTGTAAGAAGGCATGGCTCACCTAAAGAAGGAACCCACTGTATTCATTCTCACATATACAGCAATGCAAGAGTCACTGCCCACTGTGACATGAGCCACTGCACAGGAAGTGAGGTGCCTCCTTGGGAAAAGCCCAGGGCACAATGCATGGATTTTTCCCTGTCTTCTTACATTAGCCATCAAGGATGAATATATTAAGACACTAATCCCCTGCCAGTGTTGCAGCACTGAACACAGAGGGAAGATCGCCACTGACATTCCACCCCCATCCCCTTCAACTTCTCATAATGACAGGAATGCCTGAGAGATTTCAGACCTTCCACATTCGATGGGAAGCAGTTATCTTTCTTTCTGGGAGTGGAACCTGCCCACAAGCTGAACAAGTCTTGTTTTTTCCTTTTCAACATATATGCTCCCAAATGTAATGTGCATTTACAGTCAGCTGGAACAACCAGGAGCAAGGCACCAAGAAAGGCGTGTCCGTTCATTTAAAGAATCTGTTCTCCGGCTTGCAGGGGTGAGCACTTTGCTGGGCCATCCTGCTGAGTCAGTTGCAAAAAAGAAGCAGAGATCCATTGGCTAGAGATGCAAGTAGGGCAGAGCAAAGGGTTCAATCCAGCCTTGAATTCAAAGTTCCAGCCTTTTTGGCTAGTCACCTAATGGATGCCGGCAGGGGTGGTGGCGGACTAGTTAAATATGAGCTCTAGAGGTGGTGCTGGGGAGAGCAATTGTGAGGCCCGAGGCTGGGAGGGAGGAGGAAATAGAAAGGCAAAGGGGTTGAGGGGAAAGAAAGCAAAAGGCTAGGAAGGGAGAGAAAGGAGCATGCCCTAAAATTTCCCCAAGTTTTCATAAAACAAAACCTTTTTTAAAGGGGCAGGGAGTAAACTTTGGGTCATCGTTGGATGTCCCCACGGGTACCACAGCGTCAATGGGAGCTATGTAGGGGACCCTTATCTTAACCATCACAAAAATCTATTCCAAACTATAACCCATTAGCTATTCAAATGGTTAGCATATTGTTTTGGCGAGAAGCACCTTCTAAACTGCATGTGCATTCAGATTATCATGGCCTCAACATGCAGCATTATGCTCTGTTGCTATTCTACTGAACACTGCCAGATTCTCTTTCTCTTCCTAAGTCTTTTAAGCACCTTCTGCATTTGGACTGCATATTTTTGTCCGGCAAGAAAGGAGAAATAGAGAGAAGCTAAGCACACATTAGTCCTTTCTGAATAGCAGCTTTTCTTGTCACGATTTACCATTATTTTTATTTCCTTGTTCTGTCAAGTAGGAGGGAAGGAACAGCATAGGCTCCCACTCTAAGCTGCAATGAACGGAAGCAACATTTATTTAATTGTGGCACAGCAACATTATATTGCACCTGGCTTCTATAAAGTTAGTCAGCAGATCAGTTTCGTGTATGTTTTTTTTTAAGGGTAAAGTTACATGCTAGGAAAAAATCACAACCCTAAGAAGGGTTCAGTTCTGCTCAAAAGCTAGTTCCTCAAATCCTGCATTCACAATCAATATCTGGGAAATTTTATCTTCACCCACCTTGCATTGAGGTAAGAATAAGGCCTCAATGATGGCATTAGCAAGTCATATGTTTACTAATAAGTTCTCTTTCATGAATTGTTAATCATCAGTGGCCATTTGCTGCCTGCCACAATATAAAGCCAGATCTATTTATAGTAGTGTACACATTCCAGTTCAAACCACAGCAACCCACGTCGGTGAAAGTAAGTGCTTTACAGGCTTTGCCACAGGGCAGGATGTAAATACTGCAATTTCACCATCATCAAAAATAATTCTCACTGGTCCTCTAACCCGCAACAACTGGTTCTCGGTGAAGATAGGGAGTCTTGGAGGGAAACGGGCAAAGTCTTGCTCCGTGATGGGAATGGAATTTAGGATCTGAATGGGTGCAGTGTAGGCACAGTCTCAATTTTAGAAAGTGTCCCAGAAATATGAAAAAAGGGATGAACAGTGCATGACCCAAATTACAATCACCATCGTATAATCTGGTTACAATATTAAGAGCTGGATGAGTTGGATTAATTTTTCTACCAACTGAGGATCTATTTTGAGAGAAAGCACATAAGCATCAGAGGTAGGAGAGGTGAATATGTGGCAGGATTGAAGAAAATGTGACCATCGTGGCTTGAGAACAGAGCATTCCAAACGTGCAGGTTCTTACCTTGTCCATGCGGTCCTGTTCCAAACCAAACTTCCCACCATAGCCATGCGAAGCTTTTGGTCCCGTTTGAAGTTCCTTTTCCTTGAGAGATTTGTGTTCTTGGAATACATTTTCTCGCAGCTGGTGAATGCTTTTGAAGATAAACCAATAAAACGATCAGTATGCACACCATGTTACAATGCATATTAGAATACTTGTAACAATTGAAGACATTGAAAGACAATGTACTTCCCTCAGGCTTCCAATCTATCAGCTCACCCGGGATGATTCAATCCCTTGAATGCAGCGATGAAGAGGAACAAGGATGCCCTCTTCACCTCCCCATCCTCCCACCCTGCACTGTTTGTCAGATGGGTTTTTCTGCTGATCTTGTAGAGGTGCTTCAGAGGGGCAGAAAGAGTCCTGGCTGGAGGCTGGAAGGATCTCGGAATATCTCATATCCTGGCCTCCCCATTCTCCTCCGCTCCCCATGCACCCAAATGCCCCCTTTTTCCCTCTCTGAGGCTGCTTTTCTGACCTTGGAGGCCAGCTACCATAGCTCTTTCTACACCAGTTGTGAGAGGGCAGGGAAGGAGAGTAGGATCTCAGACTCGTCTAGGGGCCACAGGAGTGCTCCCTCCCATTGCTTATATTTAAGAAAAACCTAAGTACTTGATTGGCATTCTAAGACATTTTGGCATTCCAAAGACCTGTGCATCAAATACTGAAAACCATTCCCCTATTTTCCCAGAGGTTGCTGGGGCACCTTCCATCTCCTTGTCACTACATGCTACTTACATGCCACACTGAGGCATATATGTATTTAGGTGAAATGTATGTATTGTCTCACATACTTGCTAAGGATTATCACCTGAAAATATTAATTACATCTTCAAAACTGCCAGCATTGCCTAATATTGTATTGCACTATCCATTAATTGTTACTAATGAACTTATAGAATGCAAAATGTTTTGCAAAAATAAATAAGCAACAGAAACATTTCAAGCAAAAAAAGGTTTTAGAAAAGTTTCTGTCCCATATCACTGGCCATTTTTTTTCTTTACCATTTCAACTAATTTGCAGAAAGAAGAAAGAATTACCAAAATACTTCCCATATTAAAACACTGGCTATGTTCAGGAATGCTAAGTCACGATTTAATAGGAAGGGATTAGTTCTAGGGGTCCACTCCAGCCCCTTTGTTGTTGCTGTGAGGAGATAGTATGCTGAACCATAGTTAATCTAAAGCTTCCTATCCGAAACCTAAACAAACCAAATTCATAAATCAAGAGTTCGAAGCTGGTTTTTTTCACTAATCATAGCCACAATTAATTACACTTTGTCCAGGATGATGAAAAGCTGCACCCAATTAAACATCACTTATGATCTCTTAACTGGTAGCTGCCTTGACTTGCTGTCATCAGAACTTCATGAGCAACTTACAAACCAAATTTTTCCAGGTTTAGATGGCATAACAAACTGTGGTTCATCTAAAATAGAATCAAATCCTCAGGGTGGTGAAGAAGAGAAGGTTTATAAAGCTGGGATTAAAATAGTCTTGTTGGGGAACATCAATTAATGGCTTAATCTGACAGAAAACTGACCCACTTTATTATGTGTTCTTTTTAGAATGCTTTCACATCAATTTTCTTCTTCTTCCTTTGAAAGGGAGGAAATTAGCAATGCAGAACTGGGAAATCCAAATTTTAATATTGTACACAATGTATAATCCCCCCAAAGCAAATATGCTTTGAATTCCAGACTCTCTTTGAAACTAACAGTTCAAGATCATCAGCCACTGATAAACAAAAGTATGCTTCCTCTGATACAGGAGATATCTTGGTCAGTATCTGCTTTATAGCCATATTCTCCATGAATTTTTCTAATCCTCTTTTCTAATCCAAGTTGGTGGCCATCACGCCATTTTGTAGTAGCGCATTCCACAGATTAACTTTGAGCTTGTGTAGAATTTGTCACTGACTTAAAGAACTGTATTAAAAATATTGTCGTTATACCTTTGAGTAGATGTGGAAAATTTTCTTGCACTTGCAAAGGAACCAGGCTGTGGTATAGCAAGAGCTACACAACCATACAACGAATTTGCTTAATAAGTTGCTCTGCTTAATGAAGCTCTGATGACAGCATGTCAAGGCAACTACCGGTTAAGATATCATAAGAGCTCTTTACTTGGGTGCAGCTTTTCATCATCCAACAACAATTCACAATTATGACAAGATCCACAAAGGGAGAGAAGAGAAGACAACACAGTGGGCAATAATAGTATTTCTTGTCTTGACTGAAGTATAAGCAGTCATATGCTATTCTTCCAAGAATCTATTTCATATTGCCTTGATCTGAGGTTTAGTGTCACTGTTTTATTGTGTGATCTTCTTAGCTGCTTTTCCACCTTTAATTCACCCTTCTTGAAGATGGATGACTAAAACTCAACACATAATTCCAAATAGGGCCTTAGTGTCTTGTATCATACAGTGATATTAAATTTCACTAATCCTATCGGAAAAATTTCACTTAGGTGAATCCAGGAATTGAATTTTGTGGCCATGTCACTTTGGTGTATCAGATAGGGATTGATCAGAAGGGGATTAAGATCTCATTCCTCCTATGCTATTTCCAGCTGATAGAGCTCTTAGCTGAGTATGGCAATGCTTATTGGAGGCTTCCTCAAATACTGAACAGTACCACAGAATAGTAGGACAACATCAGAAACTATGCAACGAAAACATTCACAATGCCAATGTTTTTAATTTACCCTTAGGAATTAGGTGACTGGTACAAAATTTTCCAAACTATGTTTTGAAGCAAGCCACATCAGTTAACCTGAGCAAAGCAGAAAAACTGGTTTCTCAGCTATGCCACATTCTCAAACATTTCCATCAAAAATTGAGTTCAAGCAACTGTAACTAATGTCCTCAACTCATTCAGACTTCAATACAGCAATGTTTTCTACAAAGAGCTACTCTTCAGTGCAACCCTTTTAGTTTCTATGAGTAACTTTAACAACTGAAACTCTTTCGTTTTAGTTTACGTTTTCAAAAACCAATTGGTCCGGCTTTAGACGCAAGCTGACTGCTCAGCAAAGAAATAGGAAGGACCATCCTGCATATTACTTAGTGAAGAGATCCGAAGACCAGTAACTTGGTTTTCCAGATGGAGGGTGCTGTAGTGAGCAAGAGCAGTTGCCCCTCTTGTCAGGTATCCCAGGGTCCGTGGGGATGGGATTCCAAAGAAGGGACCAGAGCGAAGAGTCAGAGGAGATGGGGGTCTGGGAGACCAGGGCAAGCACAGGCCATTGAAATGTCCTTAGGGTCACTGCCCACAGGTTCCCAGGCTGACCAGGAGAGTGAAAATGTTTTGGAAGGGATGGGAGAGGAAGAGGAGGAGGAAGAACCGTTGCCTTGCCCAGTCCCTGACCATGATGTAGTGTTGGGAGACATGAGTAACAGGAGTGGATGAGTTTGAGGGCTTGTGCCGATCTCGTTGCCTGGCTCTTCAACAGTGGGAGCCACCCTGAAGGTGAAGCCCCAGAGTTACTGAAAGGAAGGGGTTTTGGGGAGAAGTCCCCAGTTTGGGCTCAACAGTCAGTAAGAGCAGATGTTTATCTTCCAACTTAACAGAAAGCTTTGAAGGTTGGTTAGTCTTGTAGCTGCAAAGTTATTGCAAATATTTGCCAAAAAATCTGCTTTTCAAAAAAATACCTGTTTTGCAAAGAGACTGTCTGGTGTTTGGAGCTTAAGGGCATGAAGGGGAAGTCTGAGCACACAACAGGAGCTATGTACCATTTCACTAAAGAATATCAAACATACAAAAAAGAAAAAAAGCTGAACACTAACAGTGGCAGCTACAAGGATACACTAGGTTGTTGCAATTTGATGTTACTTTCACAACCACAAAGATGAGGAGTGCAGAAACCAGAACAATCCCTCCTCTTTCCTCATCCACAATTAAGAGCCCTCTCCACAATTAAGAGCCCTCTCAACAATTAAGGCTAACTAGATTCCCTTTTAACCATGGATTCCTGACCAGCTTCAAACTCTGGTCAAGATCCCTGGGTAACAGCCTCTCTTTGCTCAAATGAATTATGTGCCAAAACTCTCACTGTGGATCAGCCTAGTGACAGTTTTAAAACAAAGAAAGAAATAGCTTACTTGATGTGTTCTTGGTGACCGGATCCTTGAACAGTTTTTGCACCCCATCGTTGTTCTTTTTCACTTACATCATTCTGTAAGTATATTGGAAAAGAAGATTACATGTCAGTAGGAGCTGAAATGAAGAGCTCAAGGAGACTTTAAGCTATTCTCATGATTCCATCTTCCTTGTACTTAATACCTCCTGGCCACTTTTACATCCCACCCATTTCAGAGAAGTCCGTCAGGCTGACATAAAACACCCACACTTGAATTCATGCATTACTAGGAACACACACACGAGACTTGCTCCCAACAGCTCTTAAGCTTTGGTTTAGCAAGGCTTACATTACATGCAGTGTTAGTATTGTCATCTTTGTAAGCATTTCAATGGTTTGTAGGTATACCACAAAGTCAGGATCTGTCTCCCAGTCATCAGCACCATCATCTTGGCTGACAGAGATGGTGTGGCCTGCGGTTGCTTTCCACATCTGAAACATCAAAACAAGTATCTGATAGATTACAAGAAATAGGTTCCAAAAGACATACATAACAAGACTAGGAACACTATTCAGATTCTAGCCTCTGCCCTTCAACCAAATGAGAACATGAACTTCGGTCTCTCTGGGATTAGATAAAGGGAGAACTTATTTAATTTGTATTTATTTCATCCATTTCTTAGCTGCCTTTCAAGACCACAGTCTTCCTTAGGTAGCTTATAGTATAAAAGCAATGCAAATACATTAATACAATACAAACAATTTAAATAAAACACAGTTTCAAAATATCCATCAGTAGCCACGGGTTTATACGATCCCAAATTGTTGCAAGCAATTTTCAAACTAATTTTGGAGAAAAGAAGAAGATATTTTCCTTTTAGAATCTTCTTGCCATTATTCATCCACTGGAAATAGCCTCTGGAATCATTTCAAAGAAAAGAGAAGTTTATTCTGGTGAAGAGTCAACCTGCATATATGCTTGATCCATTCATTTATTCAAAGGACACTGTGAGCCACAGAAAGATTGCTCTGTTCAGGAGAGATGCTTTCTAAGCAGAGCATTTTGCCAGCGGATCACAACACAGCTACAGCAAGACTAAATGCTAGTACAAGAGGTCTTACAGAGGCAGCCTGCATCTGCTCTCCGCACATTTCCAGCCAAGACAAACAGTATTGATAAAACCTATCACAATGTTAACTGAAGCCATGTGGGCAAACCTGGCATGACTTATGGTGCCCCTGCAGACAGCTTGAAGAAGACTGCACCTCCCGTAAAATTCAACTGTGACACCCAAGGACTTCTTTCCAAACATGCCAGACACAGGAAGATAGGAACTGTTCACTGAGTCAGTCCTAGAAGCTCTGATGTTCATCAGGTCAGGTTTTGTCAATGCCAACCAGCAGGAGTTCTCCAGTCCCACCTGGAGGTGTCAGAAATAGAACCCAGGACAGCTGTGGGAGCTATGGCTCCTTCCAAAATTAGTCTACAACCCTACATACACCTACCCAGAACCAAATCTCATGTAATTTACTGGGACTTACTTCCAAGTAAACATGCTAAGGATTACAGTGTAACAGTCTAAAATGTAACAAAAGGCCACAAACGCGCAAGTGATCTGAAACAAAAGATCAGAAGCGCTGTAGCGTATGCAATATTTTAGTCTTCCTTTCTAGTTTTAGTTTAGTACTAAAGAGATACTGTATTTTCCATTAGAGCTAGAGCCTTTCTAGTTTTCCACTGGACATGGTTAGCACAGCAGCTTTTCATTTCCTATGCAGCTTGCTGTTCTGGCTGATTTCTTTCAAACTAGGCTGGAGAGAAACGTTATCCATGCCGTAATCATGAGTCATTGACTCACACAGTAATTTGGGGTTGGGGTTGAGGAGAGCTCAGAAACAAGACTCTGGCAACTTTGTCTAATGATTCAGCAGGAACTGGAAGATCTTAAGATTTTATCCAGGCTATAGTATAGACAGAAGTCGATTATATAAAGTGAAAATGTGCAAAATGGTGGAGCAAATAAATGCAAATTACTCCAGAGTAAGACTTTTGCATTGGACATTGATCACATATGCCAATGCCCTCCTTTGGACTCCAACTCCCATCAGCCCCAGTCACCATGACCAATTACTCTTATCATTATTTCATTGCATTTATACTGCACCTTTCTTCCTCCCACACGGAACCCAAGGCAACTTCTATAGTTCCATTGTAGCCGCACAACAACAAACCTGTGAGGTAGGTTAGGCTATAAGTGAGCAACTTGCCTAAAGTCACCCAGTGAGCTTCATGCCTGAGCACGGCCAAGAAACACACCGTCTCCCCACCGCCGCTCCTTTCACTCTGTCTCTCACCACACTAAGGATAATGCCGCACACACGATAAGGAATGCGTTAGAGCTGCACTCCAAAACACCTGTCCCTTAAAAGTAGAGAAGCAGGGCTGGGAAGACAGCCAACGATCTCACTTAACTGCAGTTAAATTAGTAATTAACAGAGGGCACAGTCCAGAGCCCTCTGCCCCGATCCAGGTAAGCGTCTGAACAAAGGGTTATGTGCATCCAGTGCAGGCTGTGAGACACTGTAGCAACACCTGCTGCTTCACGCCTTGCATTGCACCTAGACGGCCAGCTCTGGCATGCCCCTTTAGCCCTTTCTGAGCCAATTCCCCATCTGGGAGGTAGCCAGCATGATTCCGCACTGGCTGAGCACCAGGAGGGCGGGCACGGGGGGTCCTCTGCTTGATGTTCCAACTCCCAGGTCACAGGACAGAATAATCCTATGCCCCTCAGAGAATGATGAAAAGCCACCGGACAGCTCACTTACCTGGACTACTGCAATGTTCCTGGCTGGAACACTGCAAAATGATGCATGTGGGGCTGCCCTTGAAAACAATCCATAACCCTCAAAGAGTATAAAATAGGGTAGCCAGTGCACTGACTGGAACTGGGTGTTATGGCCATTTTATGCCACATTCACTAGCTCACAGCCTGTCATCAAACCCAGTTTAAAGTGCTGGTGATAATTTACAGTCTCTTTTATAGGTTGCAGCCACAGTATCTAAAAGATTGCCTTTTCTTATACGTTCCTGCCCATACCCTAAGATTGTCATCTAAGGACCATACACTGAGATTAAGTGGATAGGGACTCATGAGTGGGCCTTTTCAACAATGGGCCACAACTTGCCTATTGCCCTCCCCAGAAAGGTTCACCTGGCACCTAGTTGATTGTCCTTTCAGCACCACATAAAGTCCTTTTTATTTTCCCAGTCCCCTTAAACTGCTGCCTGCTTTTTTTAACATGTGTACTCCTTCATTCAGACATAATCTCTGTTAATCTCGAATGTTGTCTCTCTTCTAAAGGCTGGATTTTTGTTGCTGCTTTAAAAAAACACTTCATAATGTGTTATTATTGCTTGTGTTATTTTTGCTTTTATCATGTATCACAACCTGAAAATTTCATTTAAGTTTAAGAATTCAGGATCCAAAGTTTAAGGATTCAGGGAGCCTCTGTTAACTGAGGCTGGGATAACCCTATTAAGGCTTAGGGCAACCCAGTGCTGGCTATGGATCATGTGTTCCTTCTAGCTTTTTCTCCTCCACTCTCACACAACTATTCTCCCCCATTCCTATTCATTTCCATTTTAGAGAAAGAACATTGTTAACATTATGCCAGCATCAATATTTTTATTATGCACAGATGGCCCAAACTGCCTTTTGCAAACTCACTTCTGATCCCAGTTTTGAACTGTGGTTTGGCACCAAAAATAAGTAGCAAAAATGTAGATGCAGGCATGACACTGATCTTCAAATGGAAAATAACAGAGCCTCAGCAGTCCTGCAGGGCACCTCCAATTGGTCAGCCACGGTCTGGCCATGAATGGCCCATATTTGCCCCAAACTGCTCGTGCTGATCTTTTACAAAGGCAGCCCAGGTACCACAAGCAAGTACTGCTAAACCTATAAAAGAGGTGAGGGCTGAGTTAGCACATCTTACATTGTCACATGGGGCATGCAAAAGTTCGCTCAAACATGTCCATGCCAAGCCTTGAATCCCTGAGGAAGCAAGACAGTGAACAGATCAGAAATAAACACATTCCTTAAGCAAGGTTATTCTAATGTTGAACAACTTAATGGCTTATATTCATATTTAAACATCAGACAGTCCAGCCCTTTCATCTGAATGAATCAAGCTTCAGCTCAGAGCGGTAATCCATGAGTAAGATTCTGTGACTTACTGAATCACAGGCAACCTAATGTATCAGGATTACGATTCATTTCCAAATAACTGTTTCTACTTCCGATGGAACAGACCAGTACTCTGTCTTCCTGACTGCATTCCAAAAGGAGGTTCTCACATTGCAATGGGGCAGTACTGGCGCATATAATCCTCAAATTGTAACCCTTGCTCATGGAAGCAGCAGAACATGCTAGGCAGCAGTTTGCAGATATGAACTTTGGCAAAGTCCAGAATCTCTATCACTAAAATGAACAACATATCTGAGATCACAGAAATGTCCATAGTTGGCCTCCATAAACCAACAGTACTATTTGCAAACACATACATAGAATCTGAACTCCCCACCCTTCTGTGTTAACACAGGATGATGCCTGATATTGAATTAGGTCATTTGGTTCTTCTAGCCCAGTATTGTCACCACGTACAGACTGCAGTTCTAGGATTTCAGGCAGGATTAATTCCTTGATTGATTAATTAATTCCTTCTGAAGAAGCTAGGGACTGAACTTGGGACATTCTGGATGCAAAAGATCTGCAAAGGATGAGCTACAGTTCCTCAATACTCAATCACCCCACAAAGACAGGCACTTGAACAACTCTGCCCAAGCTGTTCTGGTACCTTCCAAATGTTTTGAACTTAAGAGCATAACAGCCATGTTGGATAGACCAAGATCCATGTTGTCCAGCATTCTGTTCACACAGTGGCTGAGATGCCCACAAGAACCCCACACAGAGACCATGAAAGCCCCCTCTTGCCCAAGTTTCCGAACAATTGGTGCATGCAGACATAGAGGCAGTGTATGGACATTTCGACTAGTAGGTATGGCTAGCCTTCTTCTCCACAAATTTATCCAGTATGCCTTTAAACCAATCAAAATTGGTGGCTATCACTACAATTCCATAGTTCACCCATATACTGTGAGAAGATCTTTCTTTTATCTGTCCTAAAGCTCTCACCAATCAACTTCATGGGATGACCCCAGTTCTAGTGCTATGACAAAGGGAGAAAAATGTCCCCCTCTCCACTTTCTCCACACAACTGCCACCAGCCCTCGCCAGCAAGGCCAACAGTCAAGCCTATTAGGAATTGTAGTCCAAAACATCTGGAATGCATCAACTTGGGGAGGGTTGCTTTTGACCGCTATTTTGATAGTAAGCCAGGTGAGACTCCCACAAGCATTAAGGATGCAGAGCCCCGTGCCTCTAGATCTCTAAAGAATAAAGCGGCCCAATTCCCCAGAGATTTAATAAATCCTCTTCTGCTAGGAACTGATACCACCAAACATACACAAAGCTACAGGCTGCTATTCCAGGGGCAGGGAAAATGTGACCAACTCCCATGTTGTTAAACCGCAACACTCATCAGTTCTGGGCCTCATGACCAATGCTGGGAGAAGCAGCCCAACATCTGCAGGCCTTGGACAGTCGCCACCCCTGTTCAACTTCGGATCCATCAATCCCCCGCGCCATTTTCATATGCACAGCCATCAGCGTGAAATAGCATCTTCAGTCTGCACAGGACCTTGCAATACCAAGGCTGGAGGCCAGCCTTTTCCAGCCTCTCACTGCCAGCACACAGCGCGAAAGAGACGGGCTACTCGCCATCCTTGCGAGAGAATGACGAGAAGGCCCCCGCGGTGCACGGGGAAGAGCCAAGTCGCGCCTCTCTGCTGGGATGAGGAGCGTCCCAGACAAGAAAGGGAAGGGTGAACAGCGCAGCGATCTCTTTGATCAGCTGCCTCTCCGCTGGAGAACAAAGAGCTATCAGAGGGAGCCTGTCCGCCCCAACCAAGCCATGTGGCAGGCTGGCCCACCCCCACCTGCCCCATTTCCTGTCTCGATGGGCGGCTGCCCCTCCTCCCCTCCAGCTCTCAAGGTGCGCGCCGCTCCAGGTGCGCGCCCGCCTTGTGCTGCCGAAGCCTGCAACGGCGCCCCACTGCTGCTGCCGCCCTAGTCGGAGAACCGAGCGGGCAATACGAGCGCCGCGCCGGCCGGATCGCGGGATCGAAGCCCCGCTTCCCCCACCCCAGACTGCCGCCCGTCTCGGCTGCGGCAGCCTGCAGCAGAGAACGAAGAGACCCGCAAGCACCAGCAGCGAGGAGCGCAAGCACGCCTCAGGCTGGCTACCTTGCCTGCCGGGGGACCAAAGCGCCTCCTCGCGCGCGCCCCGGCAAAGGGAGCCCCGCACGAGCGACTCGCCGGACTCCTTCCTGCCACTTACTTTGTTCCCAGCCCACTTCCTGGCTGCCCAGGCCCCTTCCTTTCCCGATGGAGCGTCGCCTCCTCCTCCTGCTCCTCTGAGGGCTTCCTAGTTCTGCTGGTGCTGCAATTTCCGCCTCTCCCAAGATCCCGTTTCCTGTTTTTCATCACGACGCGTCATCAGGTGGGAGATGGCCAAAGCCATCCAACGGTGGCTGGCGCTGGGGCGCCATGGCACTTTGCTGCAAGCCGGAGAGGCGATTTCCCATGCATCCCTGACGATCGCGTCCTATTTCCTATCTGGGACGGGGGGCGGGGGGGGGGGAGCCCCTAGGGGACGCTCGGCGGCGTCCTCTGGGTGTTGAATTCTTCCAATGCCGTTGCTGGTCTCCCAACCCACTAGTGGAGCATCCCGTCCTACGCTAAACCTGCCGTTCAGCAAAGAAAAACCTAGATTTGCTTTTCCCAGGCCGGAATGGGGGGTGTCATTCAAGACGTCTGTGGGGGGTGGCGCGCTGGGAAGTTTGTTCCAAGCCATGGGTTGGAAAGAAGCTTTGTAGCGATCCCTTGCGGCGTTTTCGCAACGCCATCCTATACAACACGCATCCCCTCAAAAATATGCCCCGCTGAATTCGGTGGCGTTTGCAGTCGGCTAAGCGGTTTTAGGATTAGCACCTACGAGGTGCTCTTTCATCGAGCAGAGGCGTCATGAATGAGCAAGGAAAGGGTTAGGCTTAGTACACCCGCGGAGTAGCGGCAGCGCGTGAACTGGCAGGAAGGGCCGCCAGCACTGTCCCCGCTTCGAGTACTTTCCTCCTGCCTTGCCAGGCTCCTGCCAGAGGGAGGCGCTGTCGCGCTTTCTGGCAGGCAAGCGCTGGAAAGGCAATTAACAATGCCAGCCGCGCTCCCCCACGTACTTTTCAGAAATACATTTGTTATAATAAGCTGTGCTCCGCTGGTATCTGACCCTTGAAAAGACTAAATTCGCGTTGGTATTAGAGACTGACAATGTTGGAAACCGTAGGAGAGAGACTGGCTTTTTTAAAAAACGTTGGGAGCATTCAGAATTAATCCTGCATACTGACATTAATGAGAGGTTGGTTCATTTTAATGGTCTATTCAGTGTAGGACTAAAATTGGATACTGCCCTCATAAAAAAATACTTGCCTTTTTCATTTTTTAGAAATCAATGAGATGAGACAAAAACATCTAGGATAGAGTTTCCATTAGAACCACATGGGGCTACTTGATTAGGCTAAATGAAAGATAGGCCATCAGGGAGAACAAAAGGCAAATACTGTTTAATTTTGGCAGAAATGTAGGGAAGATACTAGAAAGGCAAACTGGCTCCATCTGTGCAATTAGCAGCCAAGTAACACTTATAGTATGGGGTTATATGCTACATTTCCAATATGTCAAAGCATACAAACACACCAGGGAACCAATGCCCCTTTATAATCAGTAAGAGAATTTAAAATTGGTCCAACAAGATTGTTTATACTTTTATGATATGGAAAAATGTGTCTGGCTTCCCCTTTTTTCTTTAATTTCTAATTAATTTTAACACTCTAAAATATGTATATATGATTATTCCAGACAGAATCCCAGCAACATTGTATTGAAACTGCCAACAGTGCTTGGCAGAAGTATTCACATGCATTTCTACTAATGATGTACACAAGATACTCATCACAGAGAAGGTGCAAAATATTTTTACTGCATCATAAAAGTTAAGTAAACAGAAAGAAATTAGCACTTGTTGGTTGCATGAGTATTCACCCTCTTTGCTGTGCCTGAATAAGATCTGGTGAAGTCCACTGCCTCCAGAAGACAGTGTAAGTAACTGAATGAGGTTTACCTGTGTGTAACTCCAGGACCACATGCTCTCAGAATAAATACACTTGTTTCTGGAAGGCCCCCACATTTGTTGGAGAACACCTATAAACAAAGAGCATCGTGAAAACCAAGGAGCTATCCAAACACTATAAAATTGTGCAGACGCACCAATCAATTTGTGCTATTTAAAAAATCCCTAATCATGAAAGACCCCCAGATCACCAGTAGATCCATTATTACAAAATGGAAAGAATATAGCTCAGTGATGAGCCTGTCAAGGTTGTCCTCCAAAACTCATGGTCCTGAGATCACCTTCACCACAATGAAGTGTGGTGGTAGCAGCATTGTGTTGTGAGACTGGGGAACTGGGAATGGGAAGCTGGCCAGAAATGAGCGCAAGATGGATGGAGCCAAATACATGGCAAATTTAGAGGAAACTTTTTCAGTCTGCAAGGAACCTGGGACTGGGGAGAAGATTCATCTTCTAGCAGGACAATGATCTGGAAGCCAAAGTAACACTGGAGTTGTTTAAAAGTGAGAACCCGAATGTCTTAGAATGCCCAGCCCAGACCTGAATCAGATTGAGAGTCTGTGGCAGCACTTGAAATGCTTCCCATTCAACCTGACGCAGCTGGAGCACTTTTGCCGGGTAGAATGGGCCAACTTTGCAGGATTTAGATGTACAAAAGCTGACAGAGTCTTGGCAGAAAACATTTGCATATGTAATTGCTGCCAATGGTGCTTCTACCAAGTATTACATCATATAGCCTAGTGCCAGTTTCTTTATCTTTTTTTCTTTTTACTTAACTTTTGGGTCATAATAAAATATTTTATTATAATATACCTCCCCCTGTAGACTGTCTCATGTGCATCAAGTGGTAACAATGCCAATCATTCATTTCTGTTCCAGGTTGTAATACAACAAATTGGGAAAAGGTCAAATTGGGTAAATACTTCTATAAGGCGCCATACATGTTAATACAATTAATTTGGAGAACAAGGAGCCCAGTGACAAAGAAGCCTCTCACCCCATGAGTGAGCTGAGCAACTGGGCAAGGAGGACTCTGCTCCCTTTGTTAGTCAGGAGGTTAAGGTACAAGGAACTGCAGAAAAGTAAATCGTCTGCTCTCTCCAGTAAAATAAACAAAGGAACTTGATAAAATCCAAAATCCCCATGGCTTTTCAGCTAAATATATCAATTAAACCAATTATGAAGGTAGAAAGACAGCAGGTGTACGGAGGCTATCCAGTATGCCTTTCTGCCTACTGGGCAGAAGTTATGGATGTGTGATCTGTGTAATGAGCTCCTGGCTTTCAGGGAACGTATTTGTTCTCTTGAAGCCAAGGTTGCTGACCTGGAGAAGCAAAGAGAGGTAGACAGGCTGGATGGTGGGACCAACTAGCCAGGGACCAGCTAGCAGTCATGGAGAACTTACGTAGTCATGGAGAAACGGAGTCTCAGGGAAGGAAGACATTATTCTGAGGAAGAGAAAAATGATCCCTGAGGAGGGGCTCAGTCCTTGAAAAACAACTGTGTATCCTCCCACAGTGAAGTCTTGGTCTATGTTGGTGCCAGTGAGGAGGGTGAATGTAGTTGTGAGGTCCTGGAAGCCAAATTTAGGTTGCTAGGTAGAAGGTTGAAATCCAGGACCTCCATGATGACTTTTTCCAAAATGCTACTGGTTCTATGCTCAGGGGCAGCTAAACAGGTGCGGCTGCATAGATGAAATGGTGGTGTAGAGAGGAAATATTCACATTTTTTAGGCACTGAGGTATATTTTGGGACAAAGTAGGCCTGTACAGGAGAGACGGGCTCCACCTGAACCAGAATGGAACCAGAATGCTGGTACATAACATTAAAGAGGCGGCAGAACAGCTTTGAACTCACCCCGGGGAGAAAGCTGATGGGAGCTGAGAAGCATCCAGTTCAGGTTAAATCATCCCTAGGGGAGGAAGGGGAGGAAGTATCAGATTGGCCAAGTGTAGGAGGGGAGGAATTAGGCAATAAGGTTGCAGTAAGCCACAAGAACTAGTTGGAGAGGACAAAGTGCCAGAACAATAGTTGCATGCAGCTGGAGGAGGCCAGTGTGTCTAAGGCCTCTAGCACTTGCATACAAACTCCCAGGGCCAGGATGGGAGAGCGAGAGTAGCTGGTGAAAAGGCGAAGCTTGATAGAGTGGGCATTACAGAAGCCTGGTTGAGTGGAGAGAAGCAATGGGATATGGTCAACCCTGGATATAAACTAGGGAAAGGCATACTGGAGAAAGTGTTGCTCCCTATGTTAAAGAGGGCATAGAGTTCAGCAGAGTTGGGAAGCTGAAGTGTGAAGACTCCTCCACAGAAGCGGTATGGGATAAAATTCCTGACTCCAAAAAGTGATAGGAATGTGCTATCATCCCCTGACCAGAATGCTCAGGGTGACCTGGGAAATGAAATCAGGGAGGCCTCTAACAAAGGCAGTACCGTAAGAATGGAGAACTTGAACTACTCACACATTGACTGGATAAATGCATGTACCTGTTCTGACAGAAAGGTTACATTTCTCCATGTCATAAATGGCTGTGCCCTAGAGCAGTTCATCATGGAACCAACCAAAGGAGAGGCAATTTTGAATTTATTCCTAGGCAGGGTTACCCAAGACATAGTACAGGATGTAAATGTTGTTGAGCCATTAGGTAACTGTAGCCGTGCTGGTATCAGAGAATTAGGTGGAAGACTGCCAGAGAGATCAAGCACAGTTGCATCTGACTTCAAAGGAGGAAACTTCTAAAAATGAGGAAACTGGTAAAGAAAGGGGGAATCAAGAAGTTTAAATCACTTCAAAGCATGTGGAGATTGTTCAAAAACACTATAATAGAGGCAAAGATAATATGCAAAGCACAGGTGGGAAAGGCAGCGCAAAGTCCAGGAAATCATCAGCAGGTTTAGCACATAGAGTCAAGAAAGCTATTAGGGAAAATAATGTTCCTTTAAAAAAAAAAAAGGGAGTCTTGCCCAAATGACAAGAACAGATGGGACCACAAGCTGGTGCAAGGAAGATGCAAGTGAACTATCATGGAAGCAAAGGAATACTTTGAGGAGCTAACAATATAAAGTCTAACACTAAAGAATTCTTTAAATATATGAAAAGAAAGAGGCTAAGGAAGCAGTTGAGCCATTGGATGATAATGGAATTAAAGGAGCACTAAGCAAAGGAGATGGGGAGATTGCAGAAAAGCTGAATGGATGCTTTTTGTTAGGCTTCACAGTAGAAGATGAAAAGCAGATACCTGTCCCTGAGCTTATTTATCCTG